GTAAAGTAGAAATCATCTATCCACGTCAGGACCGGGAGTCCTTTTTGACGTAGATATCCCGCTACAGCCTTTGATAGCGAGTGATAGGAACGGGGAGATTTTCCATCCAAAACACAATGTCGTGAAGACGTAGTTTTCCCCGTTCCACTGGAAACCAAAGTACTGCCAAGATTTCTTTTGCGAGCGGCACATTGTGGAAACCCGCCTTATGGTCACATTTCATCTTTAACGCTCCTTCCCATACACACTGGGCTATCTTGCCGACCCCATCCATGGGGAATGGGCAGTCCTTCATCATCAAGTTCAGGAACCGTGCATCGAACGTCAGCCTAGGTTTTGAAGGCTCTACTCCGAGCGGCATGACCATCGGCGGCTTGTTGTGAATTTTCGTATCGGCTACATCTCGCCATGGCACTACCACTCCCGTGCGGACATAACCGGCGATCGTTTCCTCGACGAAAAGGTGGTGTTCGGCATCCACGTGATTCCGTAACTCGACCGGTGTGAGATCTGTTCCTTTGTAAGGGTGCCCTTGGAAAACACCGGTTGCGTTCTCATTCAAAAGCTCGTCAACGTTCACTCCTGTCAACCAACCCAGATACCTCGGCCGTTGTTCGATCGGGCATGTCACGAGGATCTCTTGTTCCCAAAACTCGGCCGCCTGTGACACTTGGCTGGGAACAAAGTCAACGACATCCCACATGGGGGCATCCCTTGCAGTGATCGAAGGTTGTTCAGCTACCAATACATCTATGTTGATGTCGTCGGCTGGACGCTGAAAATGGTGCTCGCTAATTTCCTTCCCATTCACCGAGCGAGTGCGTACGTTCGCCGCCCGTTTCGCTCGTCCCAGCAGGAAAACATCTGCTCCTGGACCGACCTGTGTCCTTTAACAATAACCAAGATAGTTGAACATTCGTCATGCGATAAAAGGCCTCCCTCGAGCGTCTCGAATCCGGACTACTGTTGTTGGCCACATGTGACATGTCGGCCTGAACTACTTCGTTTGCGAGCTCCTCGTGCCCAACCACCGACCAAAGTCCCCATCAAGATTAAACGAGGTGCAGAGGTGACAGCTGATTGCTCATAGCAAGAGTACATTGCTACCTATTTGTGCCGTAGATAGACACATCCGAAAGATATCAGTTGTGTAACTCTGTTTCCATATATATATATATTCGTGATTAGTGCGCGGGAAGTTCCTTCTCCCGAAATTCAAGCCCAAACAGACATTATATAAAATATATATTTCATAGAATGCCCCTGATAGCCCAATTGAAGCAACGTGTTAAGGGCGGTGGGGACCTGATCATCATCTGAACCGCCTACTTTTGACATAACGTTGATTCCTCCCAACCTCAATTCCGAGTACCCGTACACGCCTTCCTCGAACCTACAATATACCCTGGCTTCCTACGGGTTAGAGCAGTTTCTCTTCGTATGCCCCGGTTGCTTACAGTGAAAGCAAGTCGTGAAAGGGCATGCGGTATGAGGGTGGCGAACGTCCGCCATACCACGGGCTTGGCACTTGCCGCAAAAAGGCAACGGCTTACCCGGGCCGGGACCCTTCCCGCCCCCTCCGCGGCCGCCTCCGCCACGACCGTAATGGCCTGGGGCGCCATGACGGCCCGCCCCCCTACCGGCACATCTGCCCCTGCCACCATGGGTTGAGCCGAAGAACTGGAGATGTCAAAATACTGGGTGGTGTTGGGCAAACCCAGGGGGTGCCATCCCCGGCATGGGTGACATTCCCCCCGGTGCACCTCCCCTCGCCCCCATTGAACGCGGGCGCCAATGCAACTGGGTTGATACTCCCTCCCCGCTGCGGGACATGCTTTGGTAATCCTACCACTTTCTTCAGGACGGAGAACTCCTCGTCCACACGGAACTAGTGTACATGCAGAGTGACCTCAAGAGGGCTGCCAACATAAACCAGCCAATCTTGGCGGTCTTGTGGTTGCGGGATAGGTTGCTAGATTCATGCGACGAAGGCACAAAGACAGATTACAAGTTCAGCACGGAGAACTCCTCGTCCATGCGCTTGTAGTCTATCATTGTGCCTTCGTCGCATGAATCTAGCAACCTATCCCGCAACCACAAGACCGCCAAGATTGGCTGGTTTGTGTTGGCAGCCTTCTTGAGGCCACTCTGCATGTACACTTAGTTCCGTGACTTCCTCAGTGAGCTCTGGGTCGAGCTTCGCTAGCCTGAAGGCCTCATCTACCTCTCCTGCAGTTTTGCATCAGCAACTCCTGCGTGTGCACCGAATACTCGGAGACGTGTTCCATGGAAGGAATCAATGACGTGAGGTTGCCCATCCGTGATTGTANTGCCAACATAAACCAGCCAATCTTGGCGGTCTTGTGGTTGCGGGATAGGTTGCTAGATTCATGCGACGAAGGCACAAAGACAGATTACAAGTTCAGCACGGAGAACTCCTCGTCCATGCGCTTGTAGTCTATCATTGTGCCTTCGTCGCATGAATCTAGCAACCTATCCCGCAACCACAAGACCGCCAAGATTGGCTGGTTTGTGTTGGCAGCCTTCTTGAGGCCACTCTGCATGTACACTTAGTTCCGTGACTTCCTCAGTGAGCTCTGGGTCGAGCTTCGCTAGCCTGAAGGCCTCATCTACCTCTCCTGCAGTTTTGCATCAGCAACTCCTGCGTGTGCACCGAATACTCGGAGACGTGTTCCATGGAAGGAATCAATGACGTGAGGTTGCCCATCCGTGGTTGTAACTGTGACGGGAGCGGTGAACGCAAGTGAAGCCCAAGCAACATATGGGAAGGAACAGGAGAGGGGGGTGGGGGGGTAAGGTACCATATGTGAAATGGACCGGCGACATGCTCTCGTGACAGGGAAATTTCCTGGCGGCACTACTCTACAGCGATCGAAATCCATTCATGACCAGTGGAAACCCTCATACGGCAACAGCCTCGGCGAAACACCNGTTGTAACTGTGACGGGAGCGGTGAACGCAAGTGAAGCCCAAGCAACATATGGGAAGGAACAGGAGAGGGGGGTGGGGGGGTAAGGTACCATATGTGAAATGGACCGGCGACATGCTCTCGTGACAGGGAAATTTCCTGGCGGCACTACTCTACAGCGATCGAAATCCATTCATGACCAGTGGAAACCCTCATACGGCAACAGCCTCGGCGAAACACCCCACCATGGACACCCTGTGACACGAACGTGCCGTCGTGTGATTTCGGAGGCTGTGACGTATGCCCTGTGACCATTGTAACGGTAACGGTCCCCTCGAACCATCACCACGAAACAACAATAAGCCGCCCTACTTGTGTAATTTTGGAGACTGTGACGTATGCCTCGTGACCATCGTTACCCCGCATACTGTGATGGTGTCGGCGGACAGACGGGCATAGAACTGCTGGTTACGGTGTAATAATAACAATAAGCCGCCCTCCTTGTGTGATTTCACGGACTGTGACGTATGCCTTGTGACCATTGTTACCCCGCATACTGTGATGATGGTGTCGGCGGACAGACGGGCATAGAACTGTGATACGAAATCGTGCCAATCCTCGCTGTGACGCCGTGAAATGTAGCCAAATCGAGTAGCCCATCCTCCGGTATATGATCCATGTTTGGGCTCTGGAACGCCATGTGATATGGTGTGATATGGGTATGGAATTGCGATGCGCAACCTCGCAACGTCTCGCTGTGACCCCGTGAATGGTGACAAAGATAGAGTAGTCGAACGCGACCCATTTATTGGGACTCTGTAACGCTGTGTGACATGGTATGAAGCTGCTATGTGGGAAATCTACCAAGTGTTGACGCGGAAGTGCCGATTTTCGCACTCTGTAATGCCGTGTGACATGGCCTGAAGCCGCTACATGAGAGACCTAACCAAGTTTGACTCGATAACGCCGTGAATTTTTTTGGCCGGAAGCGCGTTTCCACCTGTCTATCTATGTGGAATGCGACATTAATAGTCCGTAATTAATATAGGGTACCAGACCACAGCTGATTCGTTTCCCCTGGTGTCCCCACATGGCAATGTGTCACTCGAGGTGATCCTTACAACAGAGCACATGTTTTCGCAGTGAAGTATGAAATGAAGAACCGCATGCGCGCAGAGCAAGGTTCGGCCATGAACGGTCACGTAGTATCGCTGGAACAGCAATAATCTAGCTACAAACCACAAATTTCCATCGACGTGCACAACGCATAACGACGCCCACATGGACCGCTCCGTGAAACTCTACCGTAATTTCGTGAGGTCAACAACCTCACGGCCCGCATGCATATCAAAAGACTTGTTGTGGTGGCTAACGCGCCGCCCAAATATCTGGGATGGATACACGTGCATCACGCGGGCTTCTGACAATTATCTGCTTGGTGCCTTCGGGAATAGCGGCACGGACGTGCAAGCGAGGAAACGTGCACCTACTATTGTTCCTAACGCGCACCCAGGCGGAGTGTGTGATGTTGTCTCACGTCCCCCTGCTACTGACCAAGGAGAGAATCCTGCTCAGACATACGCACCCACATTGTGGAGCGATACCTCTGTTGCGGTGGAACATTGCATGCATCGTACACTACAAACCGCCATGTGAACTCTTGATCAGTGGGTGACGCCTGGCGCTTACCAACAGCCCTGCTCTAGCTGTAGCATACACACCAAACGATCAGTCTGTGTGCTGTTACCATATCACCATCCCGACCCACCCTCGAATATCAAACAATGTCCAAAGCACGCTCATCCATACCCCAATCCGTGGTCGGGCCATCCATCCGTATTCTGGCTTCTCAAAAGTGGTCCGAAATTCGATCGTGTTTCGGAAGACGGGGGAAATGTGCTGGCCCACGAGATTTTCGTGTTCGGTGTCGGGGCGAGCGACGCGCGCACCCCGCGTGCTCGTACGGCACCCTTCAACAGACGCGTGCTGTGAGACTACTGCTGTACAGGCGGACAGGAGAAATCTAGGAAAAAAAGGGCGGGCCCCAAACAAATGTTTCTCAATCTTTCACCTGAGTGCCAATGGAGACACTGGTCAGCAATTTCTTATTTGCTGGCGCTTTGTTGCTTGCCGCCTCCGGCTGCTGCTGTCCTTCTTCCTCGATCGCCTGAAGGAGAGAGGCGAGGTCCGGCTCTGGCTCCACTGTCCCCGTACGTTGGTGCTCGATACCACGCTAAACGCAACCTGTGACCGAGTCTCGTCCTCCTCTCCGGTGCGCCGTGCTGGCGCTGGCGCTGATGAGGGTGCTGGGGGGTCCAAGATGAAGACGGGCAAAATCACAAGATCGTCAGTGTGCATCATCCCCGCGTGAGAAGGGCAGGTGAAGAGGTACTTCGCCGTGGCATCCAGCAGCGCGCGCTTGGTCTGGAGAGGAATTTCCGCGGGCGACTTTGCGGCCTCCTTGCCGGCTTGCATCTCCGTGCCCATCACGCCCAGGAGAAGGTCCCGCTTCCCCGGCGTTGTCTGGTCGCTGATCATGCCGGAGAACAAGCCCGGCAAGTCAAATTGACGCAGGCCTTCGCAAGTCCTGGAGTCCGCCATACACACCACCCGAGAGAGGTCGAGCTCCCGCAGGCCTGTAGCAGGGTCCACGGGGCATGCGACGGCCTCCCAATCCGAGAACAGGGCGCCATCAGCAAAAGTCTTCGCCTGGGCGAGGCGGCGCGGGTCCACTGGCTCGATGTAGTCGATCGTCATGTTGATGTCGCCGATCGTCACGGGGACGGGAGAAAGGGGGGAGGGGTGGGCAAGAGAAGAAGAGAGGTTGCCCCCCAGGCTCGAGACGACACGCAGGCGTATCCGGTGTCTGTTCGTATATGTCCTTTACTTGGAAGGGGAAGACGTTTTATCTCTTGTATTAGACACGCAAGGGGAGTAGGCAGAAGAAAAGCCCTCTTTGGAGTTCGAGGGGTCCCCGCACATGCAACCATTTCAAGTTGTACATATGCCCCATCTGCGTGCCCTCTGTTGTTGCCGGTAGATCTAACCTGTCCGTATCCAAACACACGAACACCCTCCCCGGTTTGCACGCGAATGGCAAACCTAACGTGGGGCATGGATACCCCTGATCTACCAAAGAGACTCAAAACAACAACAGGCTCGAGGGAAAACCCGGCCAACCGGATCAAAAACCCTCGTCTAACACCCTAAATATAGAAAACCGTCGCTATCACGGAGGATTCCAACGGCCGCACTTCCAAGACAAGACCAAGGCAGGACAGATTGAACCGGTCACGCTGATTACACACCCGAAGCAACGCTCTCGGCGTTTCTAGGCTCCAGCCGCGGGTGACGCGCCGGCACAACGCTTCCTGCGTGACGTACCATGGTCATATATGCCAAGTGCTAAAACCACCACATAAACCAAACAGAACAAGAGAACACTACATCGGTAGGTTCATCAGAGCCTTCCGGTGGTACTCTAACTTCTCTCTGCCAAGGACCTTGGTCAGCATGTCGGCGTGCTGCTCTCCAGTCGGAACATACTCTGCAGTGATCTTGCCCGACTTGAATAGCTCGCGAATGAAATGGAACCGCACGTCGATGTGCTTGCTCCTCGCTGAGCTGAACGGGTTCTCGATTAAGGCGAGAGCCCCCTTGTTGTCCTCAAGGACCTTGATCTTCGCCCCACTCGTCTCGGGCGCTATGAACGACAGAACGCCACGCACAAACAACGCCTCCTTCACGCCCTCCCCGGCTGCCATATACTCTGCTTCCGAGGTCGACTGAGCCGTCACTGGCTGCGTCTTGGTGGATGCACACACTACGGTACCACCTACGGTCACAGCTAGCCCGGTCGTAGAACGCCTGTCTACTTCGTTGTCAGCGTAGCTGGCATCGACAAACACGCTTAGGTCTAGTCCTGACCCCCGTACGTAGGTGATGCCGAAGTCCTTCGTGAAGTTCAGGTAGGACATGATCCGCACAAGCGCGTTCCATATCCTCCCGGTGGGTGAGTGGGCGATCTTCTGGAGCTTGTTCAGAGGCAGGGCGATGTCTGGCCTCGTCAGCTTCGTCCACATCAGGCATCCGATCGCCTCCCTCACAGGCTTATCCACCGCGGGCTCGTCATCTCTCTTCGGCCCCAGGTCGGCATCGGTGGCAGCAGGGGTGAAAGCGGTCGTGGTCACATCAAACCGCTTCAGCATACTCTCAATGTATGCTGTCTGGGACAGCTTGGTGATGCCATTTTCTACATCCATGACGATAGCACACCCGTCGTACCAGGTACACTCCCCCAGATCTTTCACCGGAAACTTCTTGTTGAGGGAAGCGAACAACTCCTCTCGCTCTCCCTCGTCTGCCGCCACTAAGATGTCATCAACGTAGATCACGATGAGACCTACGACCTCTCCATCCACCACCTTCCGGAAGACACACGGGTCAACCCTGCACTGCTCGTATCCATTCTCGATGAGGGCATCGGCAGTCTCAAAGCCCCACTCACGGCCACTCTGCTGAGGCCATACAGGGCACGCTCAACCTTGACCACCTTGCCGGACATGCTACCACAGCCTTCCGGGAACCTGAGGTATATTTCTTCTTTTAGCTTAGCGTGGGTGTACGCTTGCTTCACATCCCAGTGAGCGAGTTTCTTGCCCTTTTCAGTGGCTACGGCAATCACCGTCTTGATAGACGCTGCAGACGGGCACGCTGAGGATGAGTGGTGGAAGTCGATGCCGGGGATTTGAGAGAAACCCCGCGCAACCATACGGGCCTTGAAGTCGACTATCAGGCCCTTCTCATTCGTCTTCCAAGAGAACACCCACTTTGAACCTATGGCCTTCCGCCCCTCGGGCAGCTCCTTGACCTTGGTAAAGGTTCCAGTCTTGTCGTGGCCATCTATCTCTTTCTTCATGGCCGCCTCCCAGAAAACCTTGTACTTGGAACACATCACATCCTTGTACGTCATCGGTACTGCTTCCACATCACTCGGCTTCTGCCCGATTGGCGAGGTCATACTTAGCTGTGGGTCTGGGAGTGGTTGCGAAGACCCGCTGGCGTCGACCTCGGCCCCGAACGCCTGCTGTTCCGGGCCCAACACCTCCTGCATCTCGCGCCTGTACATCTCCTCCATACGGCGTGTCTGCTCCTCGTCCCACTGCTCCTTCACAAGCGAGTTGCAGATGTAGTCCTCAACAATCCCCGTCCCGCCAGTTTCCAGGATGGTCGCCAGCAATGCCTCTTCCGGGTCCGGTGTTTCTCCGGGCCCCGGCATCTCCCCGGCACCTTGCATCTCCCGGGTCTGCTTCCGCGTGCGGCCACTCTCAAGCCCATGGCGCAGCGGGCCAGCGTTCGAGGCGCCCCAGAGGAGTTTCTTCCCTTCTAACCTGCGGGGGTAGCGGTCGTCGGCTGGATTATACTTCAACTCCTCGAGGTTCTCGGAGTCGCCGGGATCACCATCGCTACCGCCGTCCCCACCCTTGTCGCCGGACTCTTCGCCGCCCAGGCCGCCGGCACCGCCGGCGTCACTGCTGCTGCTGCTGCTCGGGCTGCTGCTGCTGCTCGGGCTGCTGCTGCTGCTCGGGCTGCTGCTGCTGCTGCTGCTGCTGCTGCTGCTGCTGCTGCTGCTGCTGCTGCTGCTGCTGCTGTCGGTGGGGCTGTCACTGCCTCCGCCGAAGTCGCCCCTTCCCGAAGGGGGCGACGGGGGAACGCTGCCTCCGTCCCCCGGAATCCCGTTGCCGGGTGCCGTCGGCGCCTCCTCGCGCACAAACGGCGTCGCTTGCCCTGGCCCACAAGCCTCCATCACATCGAGGTCGGACTCATTCTCTGAGTCTCTCTCCCCCCCCAACCTTGGCGTGATACATCCGCTCTGCTCTCGTCGACTCCTCCGGATCCGCCTGAGCGGCCGCCGCGACCGCCGCCGCCGCCGCCGCTACCGCCTCCGCCGCGGCCACGACTGCTGCTGCGGCCACGGCCGCCGCTACGACCACGACCTTGCCCCTGACTCCTACTTGAGTACCACTCCCTGCGGCCCTCACCGTCGGCGAAGTACGCTTGCTCTGCGCCCTTCGCCCCTTTTCCTTTCCCCTGCTCCAGCTTGTCCTTGGTCGCCTTGTGTTCGATCATTACTTCCTTTAGCACACCGGTCCGCGTCAACTCCTTCGCGTGTCGCAGGTTGTGCTTTGTCATGGCATACTCGTCCGAAAGGGCATCCAGGAGGAGGTGAAGGACGAACGTTTCATTGACAGTTAGTCCTGTCTCGGTTAAGGACTTTGCGGTTTGGAGCATCTCATTGAGGACGTTTTGGGGGTTTTCACGTCTAGAGATCTTGGTCGACGTCAGGGACTTGAGGTCCTCTGACGGCTGTACAGATGATTCAGGGTCGTGGATGGTCTTGAGCTCACGAAGATCTCCCTGGGGCGTCTCTGCCCTCTTCATGATTTTCCGATCTTTTTCTTTCAACGCGTGAGACAGGAAGTTCCACGCGTGGAGGCGAGCTCTATGCTCGCTCCGGTACTGCTGTGACCGNCAGTTAGTCCTGTCTCGGTTAAGGACTTTGCGGTTTGGAGCATCTCATTGAGGACGTTTTGGGGGTTTTCACCTCTAGAGATCTTAGTCGACGTCAGGGACTTGAGGTCCTCTGACGGCTGTACAGATGATTCAGGGTCGTGTATGGTGTTGAGCTCACGAAGAGCTCCCTGGGGCGTCTCTGCCCTCTTCATGATTTTCCGATCTTTTTCTTTCAACGCGTGAGACAGGAAGTTCCACGCGTGGAATGCGAGCTCTACTTGCTCGCTCCGGTACTGCTGTGACAGCGAAAACCTGCTCTTTCCGCTGTTGACGGGGATCTCCAAGCTCCCGCTCTCTTCAAATTGTTCCAACAGGTTTGCGCCATTAGCTGCCATGCGGAAATCATTTAGCCATTCGTTGAAATCTTTCGATTTCCCGTTGAACGGAGGAGAAGTGTACCGCACACTTTGGTACCCCGTCGCAGGGGTTGTGGCTCCGTAGCCAAAGCCAACAGCAGCACCACCATCTCCCATGGCACTACTATAATCTTGGTTGTGAGCAGCGGCTACTCTCACCTCTTGGGGGACAAAGCCCCCTGCTTCGCTGCTGTGTCGACCTGACGGGCCAGACTCTCGAACAGGTTCGCGCAGGTACCCCCCGTCCTGCGCACTCCCGGTCCACGGTGCCCCTCCTTCGGCGTTCGTGGACTCCGCGGCGGCGCTCTCCCTAGCATCGCCGCGATCAGCGGCACCCTCCATGGTGCCAGCTGGCTCCTCCTTCTTGCTTGCCTTCATGGTATCTTCCACTAGCGACATTAGCTGGCTCATCTGATCCGTCAGCGAGCTAACTTGCGTCCTCAGGGCCACGAGCTCTTCTCTTGACCTCTTTCTGTCTTCCGCCGCAGAGTCGCTGGAGGAGCACCTCCATCTTTGCGACATTCCCAATGGACTCTCCCTCGAGGGACTGACACTAGTGTGTTCGTATATGTCCTTTACTTGGAAGGGGAAGACGTTTTATCTCTTGTATTAGACACGCAAGGGGAGTAGGGAGAAGTGAAGCCTTCCTTGGAGTTCGAGGGGCCCCCGCACATGTAACCATTTCAAGGTGTACATATGCCCCATCTGCGTGCCCTCTGTTGTTGCCGGTAGATTTAACCAGTCCGTATCCAAACACACGAACACTGAATTCCCCCAAAACCTCCCTTGTCTCCTGTTTTCCGTGGCGACGCTTGGTTTGTTTGGAGAGTGAAAGACATCATCGCGCTTGTCATAATACAGTACTGGGCCCTCTATAGTGCAGGGGTGTGCCCAGAATTTTTACCTGCACTATAGCGGGCACCTGCACTATTCAGAATAGTGCGTCAATAGTGCAAGTTCGGCGCTATTGAGGCTTTGAATGTCCCTCAATAGTGCAGGTCCGGCACTATTGAGGAGATGCTTGATTTCATGGTGTAGCGCTCATGCGGCGCGGGGCTAGCAGAGTACGAAATGGATCGATTTACAGCNTTTTATCTCTTGTATTAGACACGCAAGGGGAGTAGGGAGAAGTGAAGCCTTCCTTGGAGTTCGAGGGGCCCCCGAACATGAAACCATTTCAAGGTGTACATATGCCCCATCTGCGTGCCCTCTGTTGTTGCCGGTAGATCTAACCAGTCCGTATCCAAACACACGAACACTGAATTCCCCCAAAACCTCCCTTGTCTCCTGTTTTCCGTGGCGACGCTTGGTTTGTTTGGAGAGTGAAAGACATCATCGCGCTTGTCATAATACAGTACTGGGCCCTCTATAGTGCAGGGGTGTGCCCAGAATTTTTACCTGCACTATAGCGGGCACCTGCACTATTCAGAATAGTGCGTCAATAGTGCAAGTTCGGCGCTATTGAGGCTTTGAATGTCCCTCAATAGTGCAGGTCCGGCACTATTGAGGAGATGCTTGATTTCATGGTGTAGCGCTCATGCGGCGCGGGGCTAGCAGAGTACGAAATGGATCGATTTACAGCAGTAGTGCTGGGCCCTGTTCTAGCGTGGGTGTGGGCAAGCTGTCCCGCGACCCGTGTGGTTCCCCCCTGTCGCATGTTGGTATGTCCGTACTTGGGAGGAGAAGACACGCTTTAACTCTCTCTGATTAGGCACCCGCGGGAGCGAGGAAAGGAAGGGAAGAAGTGGCCCTCCCGAATCCGGGAAGGGGGCCCACACAAAGCAGCCTTTTTCAGGCATACACATGCTCCTGTCTACGTACTCCCCCGTGCTGCTAGCAGATCTACCATGCTCGTATCCAGACACACGAACACCTTCCCCGGTTCGTCAAGCTATTGACAAACCATCAGTGGGGCATGGATACTCCAGATCTACTTGAGTTACTCATACAACAACGGGTGCAAGGGAAAAACTCGGCCATCCGGANTATTGACAAACCATCAGTGGGGCATGGATACTCCAGATCTACTTGAGTTACTCATACAACAACGGGTGCAAGGGAAAAACTCGGCCATCCGGATAAAAAAAAACTCGCCTACAAAGAAACCGTCGCTATCACGTAGGATTCCAACGGCCGCACTATCAGGGCAGGACCAAGGCAGGACAGCTTGGGCAGGCCACGCTAATTACACACCCGAAGCAATTGGTCAAAAACCCTAAGCTCCCGCCGCGGGTGACGCCCCTGCCCAACGCTTCCTGCGTGACATACCATGGTCCGAGACGCGCC